ATTAATTTTTATAAAATGCCTTAAATTAATAAGGAAAACAAAGTGAATGGTCCGATTCCGGTACATTGATCTTATTCACTTTTTTCTGGGTTTTCTATTTAAATCTCATAATTTTTTTTTTCTCATTTTCTTTATTAATACGTAAATAATTATAATTTGTTCAAAAATAATAATAAGGAAAACAAAGTGAATGGTCCGATTCCGGTACATTGATCTTATTCACTTTTTTCTGGGTTATATATTTAAATCTCATTTTTTTTTCTTATTTTTTTAATTAATACGTAAATAATTATAATTTGTTCAAAAATAATAATAAGGAAAACAGAGTGAGCGGTGAGATTACTATTTCACTTTTTTTTTAATAAATAAGTTAGATAATTTTATATAACCAAAAATAAGAATTAAATAATTTTTAATCTAAATAAAAATACTTAATAAAAATTATGTATAAAAATTAATTATTAATATAAAATTATTTAATTAAACTTTGCACAAATTAAATTAAAAAAACTAAATTAAACTATACCGAGTACCCATATTTTTTATTTTTCAACTCAATCTTTGGGATGGAGCTGTCAGTTTCTACCCTTGAATAATTCATTTTTATTAACTATGTAGTATTATTTATTAATTAATTAACTAATTAAATTTTTTTTATTTAAATCTAAAAAGAATGAAAGCACCTGAGCTTTGCAATGACTATAAACCTTATAGTAAGATGCACTATAGTCCAAAGATTGTGATTTGAATCCCTTACCTCCCAAAATGTAAACTCATTCAAAAAAAAAAAAAAAAAAAAATCTAAGAAGAACGAAGACTATGAGCGGGGAAGAGAGCCAAACAGAATTCACAAAGTAGTAATTGCCTTTTGCAGATCGTTGATCCAGAGATATGATGTTGTGCTTGTCGAGCACACCTGCTGTGAGACAAATAGAATTGCAGATACACTTACCAAGTTTAAAACTATCATATAAACCACTTTTGTTTATTTTGATCCTGTTTCTCTCTTCCGCCTCTCCTGCTTTTCTTATAACCAGAATACTTGCACTGTATATCAGACTTCATTTTATAAAACTTAATTTTGATTAATGAAATTTCCATTTGCATCCCCCGCAAAAACAATAAAATAGACAGAAGAGATTGCAAATCTTCATATTTTCATTAGAAATATGACTTGTACTCAATTCAAATCGCATGACATATAAAAAAAGGGGAGTTTTCTCAATGAAGACAATGTTAATTATACATGGCATTGAACCAATCAAATGCCCAAATCATACAACTCTTTAGAAAGAAAGTAAAGGGGAAAAAAATCAGCTTATAAAAATACAAACAAGTTTATAAAAGGAAACACCAAATTTCCAATTCCAACGTTAATTAACAACCGCCGAATTACATCGGTTGCTGACTGGTATACCAGAATATAATATTAACAACCGTAAGTCCCAATATTTAAAGAGTTAAAAAACAGTTCAACCATATAGTTTAGGCACAGGTTGCTGATAACTTTTAAGTACTAATTCTTTAGCAAAAGCAAGTTTTAACACAATACAAGATGTACGCAAGCGACCTAATCACCTGGGTTAAAGGATAGCAGATCTAACACTAGACAAGAGATGGGTACTGTCTGGCCTGTTGGCGAACCCTTCTCTTATACTCGGTAGCATCCTGAATATAAGAAGGATAAAGCATAATCAAAAAAGAGGAATTGACTAGTTGGGAATTTCAATTTTCCCATTCACTTCTGGCACAAAATAAAATGAGATTTCAAGACCTTAAACTAATACATAAGTGCAACACCACCAGGAACTAAAACAATAATATTGGATAAATTTTGGATGCAGAGTTGGTATAGACCTTATACTGCTAAACTAAGCATCTCAAGAATTTGATGATATATTTTAATTATAGATATTAAATAGATCACAAAAGAAAAAAAGGGTCTTCCAAATATAACTGGGATCAGCACAGAGACACCTCAAAGGGCATACCTGGATAAAAAGGTGGTAACCTTCAGTTTGTGCAGGATCAGCAGGATTTGGAGAGTCCAGCAAATCCTGAATACCAACAAGGATCTGCTTCACTGTTATAGCTGGTCTCCATCCCTATGTATACAACAAGCACACCACATTACTTTGCAGCTGAATTACGTCCAACCACAGCAGTCAGAAAAGAAAAGCATTTGTGTTTTTTTTTTTTTTTTTTTTTCCTTTATTATGGGCAAAAGATTTTGTGCTTAGCTATTAATGGTATAAGGTTTGAACCCCAGACCTTAAACCCTAAATTAAGGTTTTGAAGTTAGTACCAAGTTGGCTAAACTCTAGTTGGTGAAAGGCATTTTGTTGTTGCAACTTAAGAGAAGAAAATACTTACACTATCCTCATTAAGGATTGACAGGCAAACAGTGCCAGATGGGTAGACATTTGGGTGGAAAAAACCTTGAGGAAATTTGCACTTGGGAGGCTTGCTGGGATAATCTTCACTGAAGTGGAGTGTAAGAGGGAAGTAACCACCCTCCCAATCTGTCTGTGAAATACAAAATGAGAGGATTTAAGACTGCAATGATTAAATAAAAAAATGGCCTTTTTTTCTGACTGTATATTTCTTTTCGTCAAATTGAAGCATGACCCTCATAAAGCATTATGACAAAAAAAGAAAGAGATCTTCAAGCCTACAATGATGATGCCCAAAAAACATGCAAAAGCCTTTGCCTCAAAGCCTATTGAATCCAAAACATTTTTATGACAAAAAAGGGGCACTTAAGAATGGTGCAAGGTCCAGCATGCTTTATGGTCAATCACTCTGGAAAGTTGATCTATTACATTGTTAAGTGGGTCAACCAATTCCGTGGAGATATACTTCTCCACAACCAATGAACAGAAATCCAATTCAACTACTGCACTGGCCTAATATGATCAAATGATATAGTCAACAAGGGACCAGCACTATCAAAGAGATTGTCCAAGAGCCAAGTTGAGTACAGCACAGTCTAAAAGGCAGCACGAGATGAAGAACAGGAGATTTATGTTAAACCAAGCCTTTTGTACACGACTAGTTCAAGAGAAGTAGAGATGGCTACGCCGCTAAGCAACCACTAGGGCCTCTGACCTTGTGAAAAGGTAAAAAAAAAAAAAAAGAAGAAGAAGAAAAAGAGCAGAAATTGCAGAATGCTGATAACTGACTTCTTTAACGGTAAAGGCATATAAGCCTCATAAAGGAATGAACAATCTTCACCTGACTAGGAATCAAAACATTGTACGGGACTAGTTTAAAGAGAAAACAACACTGAAATAGCACACCCAGACACCCACATTTATGATGAGAACATTTAAGAAATATGAATCCTCCTGGAAGGCCTGCATAGCTAATGGGAACTAGTTCACATTCGCACTAGCCCCTAATGTAAGAGAAAGAAAGTTGCTGTCCAATTTGACAGAAACACAAATAAATTGCTGCCATAGATTACAAACCCAATTCATTACAAACTACATAACACAAGGGTTTATCAATTCAATCACAAAACTCTATCCCAATGTTCCATTGCCATATATAGTTCACACAGAACAATGACATCCCAAATGAAATTATTACCATAGAAGCCAACACTACACAAATAAGTAAAGGACATGAAAGAAAATATGAAGAGAATACAGTAGCAACAACGATAACACACCAAATTACATCTATTCTATTCAACAAGCAGAACCAAAGTAACAAAGACAACAAAGCCATAATTTTTTCGAAGAAATAGAGAAGCCTATCACTTACCCCAGCTTTACCAGGGATTGTGCAATGCCAAATCATCAAATTCACAGTCCCATCAGGCAGAGTCTCCGGCTTTGCAACAAAACCCTAAATTACACCAATAAAAAACAAAGAACCAAAATCAATACCTAAAACGCAAAAGAAATCATATTTAGTAATCTTATTGAAGCAACAGCAACAACAACAACAACAACAACAACAACCAGACAAACTGAAAAACAAATA